CTATCTGTCCTACCACCAACCCTCACATCACTACTGTGTCCTGTACTGATGTAGGGTCAGGATTAGCTTTTTGGGGGAACAAGAGTTAAGGCATTATTTTATGCTGGATTCACCCTATTGCATCGAGGTAACGGATGCATCAAGCACATTATACATGTTAGAATAGCATCGCAATTAATTCTGAATGGCACCCAATGCACCATCCCAACATACCTGTACGTACCCAGCACATGGTGGTGCATTGCTTTGGATTGCTTTTTTGTGTGCATTCTGGGGCATTAGGTCATGCATCGTACATTAATGCATGTGTGTTAAATGCAATGCACCAGAACATGTTTTTTAATGTTAGATACACTTGGCAACATAAGATAATTTAAAAGAGAAGTGTTGGGAGAGTAAAAATATAATCTTCCCAATGCTTACAGCTGGTGGGTGACACTGCAAGTATAACATGCTGGCTCTATAGTTCAAGAGCTACATGTCAATAAGTCACACCTCCCTGTCATCCCCCCCCCCCTCTCTGTTCCTACAGCGCTTATTGGAGGCACAGACAGGGAAGGGGTTGGGCACATCTGGCTCTAGAGAGGCAGAGCCAGCTGTCAATCAGGCAGGATACCGACAGCATTGTCAGATCTTTCCCGGCTGCACTGTGGTTCTGCGCTGTCAGCATGAAGTGGGCAGTAGCTAGATACTGACTTTGGGTCACAGGAGGACATTAGTAAATGTCTTCCTGTGACCCAAAAGCGGACTTAAGCCAAAGAAAGGTTTGGCTATAGTTCTCTTTTAAATGAGCTGCAGGTTTCACCCATGCTCTAGGCATTGAGAGCTCTGCAAAAAAAAAAAAGCTAGCATCTAGACAAGGGGTTGTCTATAAGGTCGATCGCGATCTACCAGTCAATCGCATAGCGATCACTGGTAGATCGCGATGTCCCGTCTTCTCTGGATCCCCCATCTCTTCCCCATTTGTATGCAGCGGGGATCCGAGGAAAAGTGAAGCTGCAGTCGGCGGCGGGGGACGGAGCCGCTATCACAGCAGCACGCCGAGCGTTGAGCCTGACAGCCGGCGGCTCTCTCCCCCCCGGCGGCTGAAGTGCTTCTTTCTGCCTCTGCCCGGGAGAGCAGGGGGGGATCCAGAGGAGAAGTTGCAGCCCAACTCTGTGCGTGGCCAAGCGGCAGAGAATCGGTACATATCAATGATATGTGCCAATCCTCTGTGCAGGACAAACACTGCAGCGATCCGCTGATCACTCCAGTGTTTGTAAATAACTGTTGACACATAGTACTATGTGTCCCCAGTTCTGGATGAACACGATGTGATTTACATCACTTCCTGTTCATTCATGAGTTTCTCAGTGGGGAGAAGCACTCCGTACAGAGGCTCCTCCCCATTCAGAAACTGGTGATAGTAAATATTTTCTGAATGAATGGTAAGCCTCTGTGCTTTCCATTCATTTAGAACAGAGGCTGCAGAAAAAGAGATTGAGGACTCTGTGTCCTCAATTTATTTTTCTATTTTAAAAGGGAAATATCAAGGGGCTGTTTAGACCCCTGATATTTCCCCGAAGCGCCAACCCCTCTCCCCCAACAGTAAAAAAAAATATTAAAATGAAATAAGAAATAATAAAATAAAATAGTAAAAAATAAAAGAAAAAAATCCTGGAAGCAGGGCGGTGAGTGACGTCACCCTTCGGTTGGGGGGCACTTTTTTTTTTCTCGCCACATGTGCAAAAGGAGCTGGCTACTGCTATGCTCCCGCGGTGCTCGTGCGGCTGCCGACTGAATGTGTCAGACACCGCAGACGGAAAGGGGCGGGACACCTCTCCCCGTGTGCAACATTGGCCACACGAGCACCGCGGGAGGATAGGACGTCGTCGCCTCTAGAATGCAAGCCGGCCGACTCCCAGCGTTCAGGGCGGGAGGGGGCATAGAGTTGCGTGCAGCCATGTCCCCCGCCCACAGTTTGATTGCCCGCACCCGGAACGCAGGCACATTAGTGCCTGCATTCCGGTCCAGTGTGATCTGCAAAAATAGTGCTTGCACCGCCACGTCCCCTCCAGCCCCTGAACGCAAGTGTTTTTTCATTGGTAGATCTCATTGAGCTCGTCATTTGAAAAGTAGATCTCCAGACGAAAAACTGTGGGCGCCCCTGATCTAGACTAACACTCCTGAGATCATATGAGTAATATGATCATATGAGTTTCTCCAGCCATGGTATACACTGTATCTTAAACCTACCATTTAGGAGTTAAGGGTTTGGTTTGACAGCAAAGAAGATGATTTTACTTTAACAATAAGCCCACTTTTGACATGGGGAAGGGTAAAGAACAAGAAAGCCAGTTAGAGATAATCACCCAGCTGATGTGCATCTATGCAGGAGACTCTTGGTACATCTGGATGATGATAGTCTATTGAAGCTATGCATGGGTCAGGGGGAATGGAAGCGATATTTGTATATTGTATATAAAATATAGATGAATATATCTGACCAGACGCTGCCACCTTCCTGTGCCCTACAGGTCAAGTTTAGCTACAGCCCAGTAAACTGTCACTTGCCCACAATCCTTTACCTATGCAGTGTTTTATTGCTTCTGTGTCGCTGTGCGCAAGATTTTCTCTCTTTCCTGTCACTTGCACAGAAAGATAAAGAACTATTTTTAACAGTGATACAGGCAGCACTAAAAACTTGACACCCCCAACCCCTCATCAACATGCTAATAAAAATGTTAAATAAAAGCCTTTATTTTTTCATTACATACATTATTTAGACCCAGTAGCATCATCATTGGCTTTCTGTGCTCCTCTATGCAACACAGGCAAACATGGCTGGTGGGAGGGGCTGGAAGGGAGCTGTACATATATTCCTGAATTCCAGTGGGCTGACTCTTGGGAGGAGCTATGCAAATATCAAAATGATGGGTGGGTGTCATTCTGGAGGAGTGGGCATTCCTGGTCAGGCTGCATTTGCATGCAGAGCACCCTAGATAATGCCCATATATAATGCCGAGCCTTCTTTACTGAAAGAACTAAAATCCAATTAATAAAAGGGGCAGGGACAGTCAGGCTGGGGAGCAAAGTGCTAAATGATGCTGAATGCCCTCCAGTCAGGAAATGAGGTGTGCTCTATCTGATTTAATGAAGCTTCTAATGCACACTGTCAGAAGCTTACAGACATTTTAGTACAGGAGAGGAGCCTGCACAGCTGTGAAAGAGTGATGGTTGGGCTGGAGTTCAACTTTAACAGAGCTAGACCTGCTTAGTGGTGAAACTACCAAAATAGCTGGGGTAGTGGCCCCCAGGGGGACTGGATGTCAGAATGAACAGCTAAACCCACCTCACCCAATTCCCAAGTGGGGAGTCTGTTAAAGATCCGTGATCACCATGAGAAGCTTCTGCCTGCTTTTACAGCTGTTAAGTTTTAGATGATTACTTTTCCCCCGCATTCCCTTTAATTAATACATAAGGCCGGCATCTCCTTCCATGTGTTATTTACAGCAAGTGTTTTCTTCTCTGCTATTGTGTCTATGGAAGAAAGTAACGAAGAAATGTGCAATCAAGAGTCGGGATCAATTAGTCATTTCCGAAAATACAAAGCCGAGCCTGATCCACCCAGATGAAGCTATTAGAAGGAATGTCTGATTGTTTCCTATCTTCCTGTATTGCTTCTCATGTCATAGTACAGCCCACACAAATATAATAAACATCAAGAGGTACACACTTTCACTTCAGGCAGCCTGGGGCTCTGGAGGAGGCAATGCTGGGACTTGTAGTCCTACAGCCGCTGTAACTCAAAAGCTGTATGTGATATGATGGTGGCCCTGGATATGTACCCAGTCTTCAAATTTTGTCTATATAAAGGTCATTATTATCAATGTTATTACTCGGTAATCAATGTAACTTTTATTTAAATATGGCGCCCGGAGGTCTGCAGGCCACTCTGGGCCTGGACAATGCAGAAATCTAATCAAATAGATACCGACCTTAAAGCACCACTCCAGGAAAACATGTTCTTAACCCTAACAGTGGGGCTATCCCTGCATTGCAAAGGTTAAGTGCTCGTTTTTATCTAGTTGCTAAAAAAAGTTATACTTACCCGAACTGCCAATCCAGTTGCTACTCCGGTCCCTGAAGCGTGTCCTCTCCTTCTCTGCAGCGATGGTATGTCCCTCGGCGTCTTCACGTCCTATACATTGTATATAGAACGTGATGACTCAAAAAACCTTAGACCACTGCAGCGGAGGAGGAGAAAGGCTGGAAGTACTGGTCTAAGAGCATGCTGGCTCCGAGGTAAGGTGAGTATCAGTGGCATCACAAGGGGGGTGCGGGCGGTGCGTCCCACACCCGGGTGACACCATTGGACGGGTGACACCAAAATGACTGCAGTCACCCCCTCTAAAAAGTCGGGCACTCGGTCATGAACCAAGAGCCGGACAGTGTCAGGATATACCTCATACCTCAGGGGTGAACATCCTCTCCTCTCTCTGTCAGCGTTCGTCACTAAGATGGCCGCCAACAGGCTTTAATTAGATTACCGCGCAATGACGTCATCGCGCACGAGCGTGGTGACATCACGTGCATGCCCGATGACGTCGTGGCTGGGTGTCACCCAGTACCCGCACCCGGTGTCACCCCACCTCAGGACGCCTCTGATGAGTATAACTTTTTTTAGGCACCTAGACAAAAACGAGCACTTAACCCTTGCAGTGCGGGGGGTAGGGTTAAGAACATTGTTGCTCAGAATTCTGTTTTAATTTATGATACTGTTACTTTATTCAATAAGCAGACTGCTTTAGCCCAAGTTCTTGGATTCCCTTTAACATACACATATATAAAAATAACACGTCATAATTGTGTATATAATGCTCCATGGTATTTGCCTTCTTTAGGGGAATTACCATTTCAGCCTATCTTTTCAATGTTTGGTTAGCATGCCTTGCTAAGCATTTCTATTTATGTTTTATTAACGAGAACAGTGTAATGATACTTTTAGAAATTCTCCTTACCTGGGCATGCTTGCAGATAGTCATAACAGCAATCCATGGCAGACTGGCACAGCTGGTCACAGTAACACGTCCCATGGGTCCGGTCCATCCTCCAGCCCTGGCTGACACATGTCAAATCTCTACCTTTACAGCACTTTCTAGCCTCCAAACACCCAGCTTCAACCAAGCCAGGGAGTCCCAAGAGACCCACCACAAACATCCAGACACTTCTGCTGGTGCCCAGATCCATCACTGCACCACCACTCACAGTCCAGATCAGGCTGATACAGGTCTTCCCTTACTAACCTGCCTGTGCTGACATCTCTGCCTAGCTTACTTCTCTCCAAAAGGTTCCTGCTGATTTCATCCACTAGCAACTGTCATAAAAATTGAAACCTTAAAGTAAGGAATCAATCAAGTTCTCAGAGTAGAGCTTTGAGTTGTCCCTGGCTTCCAAACCTCAGGAGTAGATTGCATAGGAGTCAGCAGTTCCAGTAAATTAATATAAAGGGATGTAGAGAGTGCTGAACACAGGTGATGCGGCTTCCCCATACAGTGACAGCGAGCAGCAGAGAGCGAGCAGAGTCCACAGCTGTCCCCTCCCACACTTCACACAGGCTGTAGGAATGTCAGTGTTTGGCTGTTTCCCAGTACTGAGGGGATGGTGTTGTGTGTGCAGCAATGGGATGAGCGCAAACACACTGTGCATTCTACACACTAAGCAGCCCACATACCATCTCTGTATATGAACTTCTCCCTTACATCAGAATCATTCACCACCAGCCAGTCCTAAGTATATTTACATTTCTTTATGTGTTCTATCATGTCTTCCATATTTACTGTATGATGATCTTTTTTTCTGATGACAGCAACACTGCCTAAAAAAGGAAGAGCAAACTTTGGCCCACAAATGGTTTCTTAAAAAGCAGGTAAAGCCCCCCAAAAATAAAAAAACAAGGAGCTAGATTTTATTTTTGCAAAAGTATTTTTTTGCTAAAATATTACTTTCCTGAGCAGGACCTGAAAAAATTCTCCAACTCCTTCTTTGGTATTTTTCTGCACTTACTTCACTCCTGCCCGACTGTTCAAAATGGGTAAGCGAGGCACCCCTATCTGCCACAAATGTCAGATGGCAGACACAGATTTTCTTCATATGGTCTGGGAATGTCCCAAAATTAGACCTTTTTTTGGTTACCAAATGTATTTCCCACAACTTTACTTTTCCTAATATATGCAACCTAACGTGGAATCTTTTGGGCATTTTCTGTAACTTTCCAGCTACTGTTGCTACTGTTGGTTTTAGACAACAGTGTCCGATAGTCCCTGGTAAATAAAGTATTGCCCGTTATAGACTAACCTATGAGGGCAGAGGATGCCCTACTAAATTTGATCAAATCTTGGTGAATGGATTTCTTGTCCTGTGAAACGCAGGCCCAATTCACCTGATGTTTTCGCCTACGACAACATGACCCCAGGATCTATATCCACATCTATACTGTGCCATATTAATGGACCTGAAATGACACTCACAAATATTGGCTGAAGTGACTTTCTTTTAACATTAGCCTAGATATATAAACAAGTTTTACAACCGCACAGAACCATTGTTTACTGCCTATGCTACATGTTCATGTCTGCTTATCCCAGACTCTTGAATGGGGATTAGCTTGAGCTTGATGCGAACCCAATTCACCTGAGTTCACCCAAGCCAACTCAAAACTGTGACCGATACCTCCCTCCCGGGGCAATCAGTGGTGGCAGGGGCATTTCCCACCCCTTTGTGAAGTGTAGCAAGTCAATGCACTTGCACATTATGTTGAAAACTCACCCACCCATTGCAGAATTGAATTCTGTTTTAACCTTACTCATTCTTACTATATAACAGAAAGATTTAATATATTCTGTATAATGCCAAACATTTGTTTCCAGTATTGGGTAGAGTAAGAAAGGATTATAACTTGTACTCTGTCAAATATTTATTGTTGTGTCCCCACTAGGTAGATTCACCCTTCCTGTTTGTCCTTGTGACCATTATCACCAATACAGAAAGTCCAAAATGCTGTCACTAGAAGAAGAGGTGAGGGGAAATCTTCCAATGGAGATACCTGTTCTAGAAGAGGGAATCCCCATCTGTTTGTAGAGATTTCCTCACACTTCATGTTGTAATAGAAAATCTCTCTAATGGGACACAGATAGCAATACATGTTCTGGCCGGGGGGGTCGTAACCTTCCCTTCCTTACACAAAATTAAAAAACATTTGGCGATACATACACTTTAACCTTTGTGACAGTGCCACTATATGGGAATAATGTAGGTTCCATAAAATTTCAGCATGGCAGCCAGAAACCTAGCATTTATGAAGGAGACAGCCTCTACTACCAACATTTATAGAGAAAGAGAGAGAGAGAATGAGAGAGTGTCCATAGCAGACATAAGTAGAAGGCAAAGCAGAAGTAGTTCCCCTTCAGACATTGGACCCTTTGAATCTGAAACCTCAGAAGGAACTATATAGGAGAGTCACTACTCTAACACATTCACCCATATAGATTCAACTTTGAGCTATTTAACTCTGTTGATAGCAGGCTTTCTAACAGGAAGTGAGAAACATCTGGAATAATGTGAAAAGAAACCTAGAGCTCCACCTATCTGCTGCATATGAAAATACAAAATATCAACATGCAATGTTTCATGTTTACCTCTTAAAAACATTTATAAAAATGATCATTTATAACATTTTAGTTTTTAGAGCTAACCAAAATAAAGAAAAGAATAGTATACGAGATACAAATCACTATACATTCCCCTTTTCTGGGGGGGAGGGGTAACTAAGGAAGGGATTTTCTTTTCAAGGTTGCATACTTTTTTCACCAGCCTACTCTCCATTAGTTTTCCAGTGCAGTTTGACATCACAACTTTTCATTCTAAACTTGTATGAATGGGAGGAAATATTAGTGCTGAAATAAGATGAAGTAGGACAAAGTGCATTGAAATAAAAAGCAATTATTTTACAAATAGGCCTCTTTAGGAAATTCTTAACAGAAATCCCAGGTCTGCTGATAGACTCCACAGAAGGTTTTTTTTCTCGATTGTATAATGGAACAAAAGGGTCTCAGAAAAATTGCTGTACAGGGCTTGGAAAGAGGCTGTAAGCACTTGGCAATCTCTTGTATAAATAAGCATCTATTTATGGCAATTGGCACACGTGTTGCAACTTAATTTCTGTTTTCATGGTAAATTGTTTTCTTTAGTAAACCAAAACTACATATTTCTGTGATATAATCAATGATCTGAAATCAAGGGATCCAATTAATTAAAATGTTAATTGGCCTTACAAAAATGGATAAAGGAAACGGTTCAAGGAAGAATATGGAGCCTGTCATTGCCTGTCCTTCTGAAAAAAGCTAGTTGCCTAGCTGTTATGCTGGTCCATAAAGGAGCCCATACACTGGCCAAATTTCAGCCGGTTTGTAATGTACCGGCCAAAATTTGCACAGTGTGTGGGGCTGTCGGCTCCCTTTTAGCCAGCAGCTGATTGAAGGAGACTACTCAAAAATCATCATATGATCAGAGAAGGGCAGTCAATGAGCTGCACGCTCTGATCAGGTATTCTGACAGATTCCGGCGGCACCTGTCAGAATACAATGCAAACAGCGGCGATTTCTCGATCGATACGCTGTTTCTGTGGATGGAGGAATTGCGTGTTGAATGAAAGAAATTGATGGGTGTATGGCCAGCCTTAAGGTCAGCACAATGAAGGGCCCATTGAAATCTTTGCACTGCATAACAGTGCCATTCATCTTTAATAGCACTCCAACACACTAAAGCAATGTACTTGGATTGCAGTGCCCCACAATGGTGTATTGCATTACAAAAAAAGGGTCACTCTGATTTTTGGCATGTTAGGATGGGTTGACAGCCCCTTCGTTTCAATGGGCTACCTTTAAGCAATGCAAGTCAATGTGCAATATAACAAGAATTAACGTAACACAGAAGTGAAAATGTGTGCATTGCGGTGTTATGGGATGCCACTGCTGACCTTACTGTGAAATAGCTAGATGCCTGGCTGATTCAGACTTTTCTGCTTTTAAGTCACCTACCTGGAGCAAACATGCTAAACATGAGAGTTGGAAAACTGTCAAACATCCTTATCTGTATACATGCTCCAAATTAACAGTGAAGCCAGAGAATCAGCATGACAGTGAGGGAAACAGCATTCTCAGTAGGCCTTTATTATTTAATCATGACAGATTTTGTTTAAAAACAGGCTGTTAGGCACATATTGATAATCAGCCTAGCTCATTTTGTTAGACACACACTCCACTAAGGCTTTGAGCACTATAAAGTGCATTGCAACATGATTTTATATTGCACATGCATAACAGGTAGGGTTTAACATAGAGGTGAACATATTTGCCAACTTTCTGAAATGAGAAAGAGGGTCACCTTATAGTACAGAGTATTAAACTATTGAGATATATACATCGCACTGCAAGAAGGGACATTTAAATTGGAAAGAGGGACAGAGGGATTTGGTTTCAGAAGAGGGACAGTCCCTCCAAGTGGTGGTCAGTTGGGAGGTATGTGTAAATAAAAGATCTTGCTGCACACTGTATCTGAGCAATGGGTGTAAAGCTGCAATTCTTCACATACAACTCTTGGTCTCCATGCAGAAGTCTGTGCACTGCCCAATGTTTGTATAATTGTGTTAGAACTGTTTGAAGTGTGGAATAATCTCTGTCTCTTTCTTGGTACCTTTACAGTTGGTTTGTATGGAATATTCTAACACCAATTCATAGTAGCAGTTGTTACTTTGATTAACTGTATCTGCCATCTACAGTTTAAAATATTTACGTAGTGTGCTACACTTCTATACATGGACCGAATAAAAAGATGTCACTAATGGAGATGATTTTACCAGATTCTGGTCAGCCCACTTGTCTCTGGACTACATGTCCAAACCCGGGGGTCTAACAAGGGCTACATAACCATCTTCTACATCTTCTAGGATGTGGATACATCACATCTACGAGCTAAGTTAATTAGTAATATCATCTAATCAGATCCTTTGCTTTGTTACTGTTGTACTTTTAGCTGTTTTTCATTTTTTCAATGGCACCAGCTCTAGCTACAGTACTTTATGCTCACCTTATCTGCACAGATCTAATACGTCTACGATGGTAAGTCTGATATTCACTTATACGGTACTGCAAATTAATTTATGTAAAAAGTCTAATAATGCTACAAACCTTCATTTTTAAGTATTAAATTACCTGTAAATCACAGTATTATTGTCATTAATGCACACTTTTCCATCATACACCCCCAGGAGCCATTGGGGTCAGCATTGCCCAACGTCATTGGCTTTCCTTTCCTGAATCAGTAACCTCTGCATGCTGT